TATATATACATACATATACAGACTATATATATATACATACATATACATACTATATATATATACATACATATACATACTATATATATATACATACATATACATACTATATATATATACATACATATACATACTATATATATATACATACATATACATATGTATTTTAAATATACACATGGTCTGGTAGGCTCCAATCAAGTGTAATTACTGCTTTAATTATCCAATAATACAATCCAGCAATCAAAAGTAGTTTTAGAAACTGTCGGGAGACTATTAAATGTAATATGTTACTCCACCTGCTGCTGGCTACCTCCTCAGTCCCCTTCAGTTACACTGGGGGGGTCTTTAACAAACACCGACTGGTAGAGACGAAATGCTGCAAATGCATCGATCATTTCTCGGAGATTCAGAAAACAAGTTCTACACCAGCCGAGTAATCAAACTTTATCACAAAATAACAATAAATATTAAGGACACTTGCAAAGTGCAACATCTACAAAATGAAACATCTGCCTCACGTCTCAAGTATGTGTGTGTGTGTGTCTTCCTGAGCAGCCTGAGTTGATAATGCCACTTCTAAAGGCTTGTGTGTTAATGAGGCTCATAAAGTCTCTCTCTCTCTCTCTCCCTCCCTCCCTCGATAAAGACAGCATGGAGCAGGTCAGAGGGTCCGTGAGTGGAAATAGTCGGTACATTAGCTGACACCGCAAATTGAATAGCAATCCCAGCAGGTGGTCCTGAGGGGACATTCCCTCTTGTTGACGATCAACAGCACGGACACCGAACAACACAAACTAGACATCCCGGTGGAGAGCGACAACTAAACTGTGATTGTAAAAAAGAAACAAGAGTTGTCACAATAACTCCGTAATGCTGTCAGATGCAGCAGCACTCACCATGGTTGTGAGGCGGTGGCGTTCAGCGTCCCCGCACCGAGAAGAGGAGAGTTTTTCCGGTGAACAGTCTCACTCCATGGAGCGTGTGCGCGCGCGTGTGTGTGTGCGTGCAAAAGCTCTTTTTTTGGGGCTTACTCCTCGTCGGTGCCTCACAAGCATATTGTCTGAGCTGTCAGTGAGAGCCACGGTGTTTTACACACTGGGCGGGGTCACGAGGCCCTGCTGCAGCCCCATTGGCCGGACAGATCCCCCCCCCCCCCCCCCCCCCCCCCC